TTACAACTCGTTTGTAACATGTTTTGCGGCAGTATAATAAATCTGAGGTGCGATATATATATATATATATATATGTAAAGAAGTAGCATATTGCATACTCGAATCGCATTCCAGAATTGAGCAAGTGTGGTCAGATTATTTTTCATACTCACTCAAGAATGTCTCGAACTCGGAAACGGAGAGGAAACTGAGATTCGGCTGACTGACGTCACGATGACACGCACGAGTGCATTTAATGCACGGCACTTCGCGGTAACGTTCGTTAGCATCGACCAACACGAATAGTCTGATGACGTTCCGCATGCAAACTTCTGAGATTTCAATCGATTACGTCGCCCGCGAGCGCCATAAATTAAGCTCTTAAATACGATCACTCGATTTCCCCTTTCGAGATAAGTTTTATCGATTAATGTCACGTAGCTTTTATTAAATTTAAGATAATGCATCACTGCGATTCACGGCCCTCTATAAAAGAATCAGGAAGGAATATTGATATCATCCGAGAAATTTAAATGTTCAATTATTTTTACTCTTGATTACTGCCAATCAAAGATTACAAGCATCAACATCAGCATTATATCTGCATTACTTTTATTAATATATAAGTGCAATCGATCAAAGTTCTTAAGAAGGATGTATAAAAATGAATAATTTATAAATCTCAAATTTTAAAGATTTATATGTTTCGATGTAGTATGTGTATGAGATATATTGAAAGAATATTGTATCAAAAGATACGAGTTTCATAGCAACAGCAAGAGAAACATTTATACTTCAAGATCGATCCGGGAATGAAACCGGTGCAAAAGTCAAACGTTTATTTTCTTAGCAATCAATGGAATTTGTTAAATGAACAGAATTGCGCGCATTCTTGAAAGTTAAACTTGCTGAACTACGAATGAATACGTACAATGAGGATTAATTATAAATATAACTGCCCTTATTTTTTTGCGCTCGTTCTTAAAACTATGCATATATATATATATATATAATTATAGCTTCTAATATATTTTACGTAAAGCAAAAAGCAAGACCTATGACATTTAATATGAGAAACGATCAGAGAAAACGCGCCCGTAGTCAATTTCAAAATCCTCAAAGGACGAAGCCCGCTGCATGCTTCGTTTCGAAGTGGAGGGGGATTCACTCGACCTCTGACAGAAAGATTTAGCACCATATCAACTCTGAATTTTATCCGCTGCATACCTGCGAATGCAACCCGTTCGTTCCGCGCGTTCTTCGTCGCAACGAAATCTCTCCGCTTTTACATAGTGACAGAGGCGGATCGCACGTCATCCTTCGTATGTCACTAGATCACTGGATGTCTTTTAAGCATGAGTACTTTCATCTCCCGCTTTTTTGTGACGATAAGTGCAGCGACTGGAAAATTCAGTCTTGCGTTAGCAGATATATAAGGTATCTCAAGAAATCAAGTACATAGAATGTATGTAATATTATATAGAATTTACATTCTTTATATGTTGATTTTAACGGAAATTTGCATATCTAACGTAGTTACATATGTGAATTTACAATCACATACCTAATAAAAAAAAAATGAAATAATAAAAGAGTTCTTAAGGTATTATAATTTAAGTGATAAAATATAGATAAATACTGCCATAAATTATTGAGGATACGCCCCTCTGTTATAAAATCCTCGATATAACGTAAATATTTTTTTATAACTTTTAAAACTTTTAAAAACATATATTTTGATTAAGAATTAGTGATTTTTTCTGAAATAAAACTTTCTACTGCTCTTGCTTCTTCTTGAGTCACCCAGTACAGTGAGCAAGTCGAACAAAGATTCA